TGTAGAATTATTGAATTCCGCCCCTCATTGTCGTAATAGCCATACACTATAATGACTCTGGTGGAGCGACGACTGTAAAAGAGATCCCGAGTAAAGTTTCAACGCCTTCCGAGACTGTGCTTTGCAACGTATGTTGTCAGTTTTTATCTTCTTTACATGTTAATAAGAGGAAATAAATGAATAATTTATTTTGAGGAATCAGAATGACCTAATCTATGCGCCCATTAGATGCCACTTTTACTTTGTTTGATGCAAACCTTGTTGATTTTCGCTATTTTATGTGCTAGGCTGGTGATGGTGAGCTACTCTTCGACGGTGATGGGAACTTTGTTGGCATGGCTATTTTTTCTGATGGCAGGCATGTTTATGTGCAAGGAAGTGTAAATTTTGAAAATTTGGTGGAATTTGCAAGAAGGATTAGGGTACGCGTGCGACAGCAGGAACGATATAGGTATGTCTCGTCGTGAATATGAAAGCAGTATTTTTCCAGTTTGCTTATCCACACTTGTCTTTCATCGGTCATGGCTGTGGTTTCACATTCGGTGGTTGTAATCGTGAGCCATAGATGGACAAGGAAAGGCATTTGTATTTCTTGTTTTAAGTTGTGAATCCTACCTCATGAATTACTTGATTTCTTTGCTACGTGTACATAGATATATTTTGCACCTGGATCATGTGTCCTAGTAGCTCACTACGATTATTGACATGATTTAAGAAAACAGAAATCGTGATCAATAAGCCCTCTTGTCTGATCTTAGATTTCACTGTTAGGTAGGGCGTTGAAGCCAGTACATGTGTTTGTCTTTGTCTAATGGAAAGAGGGAACATTTTCATTCAAACTTAAACATAAACAATTGAACTTAAGACTTACGACACCTCCTAACTCTCGGCGTCTATAGGCGCTAATGTCATTTTCCCCTATCTTCATCAGTTCTATCATGTTTGTAGTCTATTCGTATTTGATGTGTTCTGTCGTGGATTTGATTAAATGGGTTCATTATGCTGTGCTGCAGACGATCTATGAGCAAAAAAGGCAAGCGCCGGTGCCGACACGATGTCTATGATGATCCAGTAAAGAGAAAGAGAACCTTCTTGTGATCTGGAAGGTGAGCAACACTGGCCACTCCTTAATATTACTGAATATATATGTTATAAGTGAGTTTATAGCGGGTGATGCAAGTGTAGTCTTTTTTCTTCTATGGTTAACTAATAAGGTACTAATGTGTTGTTTAGTAGTACCACCTTATTAGGTACGTTTAGCCTTATTACATATGTCCATCAGTATCTCATAGTTAGCTTTTTTAATGAATATTGTCCATCAGCATCTCTTACTTCAGCTCCTTTAATGAATCTGCTGAGTGCTTGTCTTTTTTTTGGGGGTGAAGCAGGCCTGTCTAATCTATTATGGTTATTTTGGATTCATTTCAATACATGCATTGTTTGGTTGCTTCGACCTACTTTGAATTTGAAGGCTTGCTGTTTGCTGTACAGATGACGACAGATGGCCAGTGCAAGCCAATTTAGTATCATCCCTAGAATAATGATAAAGTTCTGGTTCATGTGACTCATGCTTGTCTATGGGGTAGTGATCAGCAAAATCAATCATGACTTTTGTTGAACCATGTATGCTCAATCCAGTCAAAACAGCTATCAATATTCAGTTAAAAAAACAGCTATCAATAACTGGAGTCTGTCTAGTGTAACGTTGCATCATTGTCGCTGGAGATGCACATGAGTATTGAATTGAATGTTTCTGATCTTGGATATTAGAAAGAGGAAATCTTAGTACAACAAATATCACTACCCCTATAGAAAGCACCATTGTCTCTGGAATCTAAACAATCTCAGCCATACGCTTCATGTTTGTAACAATTAACGTTGGACTAATGCTAATTGTCCCTTAATCTCACGCTTAATGTCCCCTGCAAATCTCTCCTCATTCGGTTCAAGGTGCTTCCCTCCCCTCTGGGGCTCTGTTCAAACTGTTCAAGGGATGTGATATAAAACACCATTTCATAGACATGGATGGGGGGCCACCTGAATGCAAGAAAGAAGTAATGAAAGATTATATTTGGGCCTGTGTAGCAAATATACTAATGTGTAATCTGTAGCTTTTAGTTTCCCTTCACTTGTAGCAGGAACATGTGAGCTCTGCGATACCAAGTTCCGTGAAGTGGTAGAAAACTGAGCTATGTTAGCTCAGTTTGTTGGCATTCATCCTAATCATTTCATATTCAGTTCAATTTTTTCTATGCAAACCTTATCTCCATGAGTGCTTACAGATGCTAATTGCATACAAGTATGTACAAGATATGTAGAGGAGTTTCTATCACTGATTTGTATAGTACCGAGTTGAATATATGAGCTTCTAGCTAATAGTGGGGGCTAAGCTGGATTCCTTAATGGAAAAGAAACAATCAGCTGGAAGTTCCTATTTTATATTTCTCCCTTTCTTAGCTAAAATGGACTTTTCTCTCTAAGTGAATATTCTATACAATTCTAGGCCAAATCAGTTCTCGCTTGCCTTGATTAATAGTTTATCCAAGCTGCTCCAACAAAACCTAACGAACTCACTAGCCAGTCTCAATACAAGTTAAACCGTGTGTTTATGTGCAGGTGCGCCAACAATTACAGAAAAGGGAGTTAACCTTCATCTTCCTTCTGTGGAGGTTGTTACTTTTTTAGGATTGTCCTACGTGCTCGGTTTAGCGCTCCTGGCGGCTATAATTGTTGTTGGTATGTGCATTGTACCACCTTCACTTGGATGGCTACTTCTCAGGGTTGCAAGGGGAAGGCCATATGGAAGATCAACTTTGCTAATATAGAACATGAATCATTTTGGAGATATTGGAGGCACCAAGCTTGAACATGAATTCCTTTCTTTTAAGCAAACATTGAGCATGTGATCAGTGGAAGATGACAACTGTCCAGCAAGGACGAAATCCAAGTGGGTGGCGGCAGAGGTGTTTAACAAATTGATTGGGGGCTCCTGCAAATTTTGGAGGTGATGCTATATACAATGGATTAGCTAGATAGTTTATAAGTTTGAAGGTTGTTTATTTTTCCTTTTGATCTAAATGGCATGTAAAATGTTGATTCATTTTCTGTGGCCATTTTATTTTATTTTTCTATACTGCTCAGTAAAGATTGATTTTGTTACTTAAGTGGAATAAGTTGATGCTAACAACTATTAGTTTGATAATTCACCGACGCCTCCAAGGAGGGAAACGGCGCCCTCAGGCGTCGCCGTCGGCGCGGCCGGTCATGGCCGGCCAGTGATTTCACCCGAACTAGATCTCTGCCACCAGTAGCGCCTCCTGTACAGAACCGGCGACCAAGAGGAAGCGCGGCCCGACCAGGCTGGCCCGCATGCCGAACAGAGGAGGAGGGGAGGCGCCAGATCGCGCGCACCGGCCGCCGCAGAAGCCGCCGCCGCCTGTCGACGACCACCGGATCCCGCCGCCCACGTGGCCGGGACACCAGATCCACCGCCCACGTGGCCGGGACACCAGATCCACCGCCCGCACGGCTGCTAGCTGGTCGTGCCTTGCCAATGAAGCCGCCACTCCAAATCCGGGGTTCCCCATGCAGAAGTAGGGCAACCGAGACCCCGCCGCCACCATCCTTGGCGCCCCGGGCTTGTCCGGCGGCTGCCTCAGGCGGCAGCGAGGAGATGGGACGAGGTGGGGAGGGGGCCGCGGCGGCGCGGCTAGGGTTTCCCCGCCGCCGCCGGGGGAGGCGACGCAGGGAGGAGATCAGTGGGATCGCAAGGATCTGGTTATCCTTTCAAGATTCGGATAGGAAAGATTTACCTTTGTCAAGAACCATATGACATCCGATAATTTAGGGCCTGAAAGGCTTATACTGATACGAGAATACCTTTGGGCACTATTGCTGGATCATAGGGAGCTTCTTGTTGACGAATGCATAACCGATCCTTTGGCTAAACAGGGGAAACGAGATGGATAAGCATTTGAAGCAGTTGGTCAGCATAGGAGTATGTTGAACAGAAATCCAATGCTTGAGGATAGCTGATGGTTCTCTAGACCAAAGGAATAGCTTCTAATGTTGCAACCAGACTAAGTGCCTGTTCGGCAGTCATCCAACTCCTCAAAATATGGGAGCCAGCGGAGCGTCACTTTGATGACTCCGATAAAATAGGCTACGGCGCCGCTCCGCTCCGGCCGCTCCAGGAGCTGAGCCGTGGAGCGGAGAGTTGCCGAACAGAGCCTAAGTGCCTGTTCGGCAGTCATCCAGCTCCTCAAAATACGGGAGCCGGCGGAGCGTCACTTTGATGACTCCAGAAAAATAGGCTACGGCGCCGCTCCGCTCCGGCCGCTCCAGGAGCTGAGCCGTGGAGTGGAGAGCTGCCGAACAGGGCCTAATTCTTTTTCCATTGTAGCATAGGTGATGTGGGTCAAGTATGCATGCACCAAGGGAAAGGGACAGGATAGCATGAAACTGAAACTTGTCGATCATGGGCTGTACATCGGGAACTCGCAAGGTAATTGCAATTCAAAATATCTGGAATGTCAAAACTTTCTTCAGAACTGGGAGTAAGTTGGGTGCTTCACTTCAGGTTTATTACAATATGGTGAAGGCTTTCAATTTCAAGGAGGAAAAACTATTGGAGCAAAGCCAAATACTCACCAAGAAAAGCAGTACCAGTAGACAAAAGCAGTAACATAAGCGGTTTTTCTTTTCTGAACAAGCATAAGAGGTAAATTAACTTGTAAGATTATTGTGTAGTGAACTGTTGCTAGAAAGGCCATTCAAATTTCCAACATTCCTGCTGAACACTTATTCCTTGCGTTTCTATGTTCTGCCGTTACCTCGGAGTAGATTCATCTTCTTCTAAAGTTCAAATATACTCGGGGTTTGTTCGGTCCCCTAATCATCAAATCCATTTGTATTTGCAAGAAAAGCTCTAGGCATTATGATTTTAAAAGGAGAATTTATGTATTTAGCATTGTTCGCAACTGTACCAGTTTTATCACCAGCGATAAATAGAGGAAGCTGCTATCATCATGCTCATGCAACCGCGAGTGTTTCTTTACCAAGCTGTCCGATTTCGAAAAATGTGCTCCAACTGAAACACCACAAATCAAAAGTCGAATTCTTTCGGATTGACTCTGAGACAGAGTGATTCAAACCAGGAATCTGTGGCTGCTATGCTACACTTCAAAAGAAACTAATACATGCAGGCAATCCAACAAAGCTTAAGCCAACGGTAAATGAAAGTACCGCATATAAAGAGCAACTCGCCTGGACACGACCATATTGGTGAAACCAATTGGTAACGACAAAGTTATTCCTATTGCTACCCACTGCCAAATCATTCCTTGAATGGAGTTAGGTCGATCTTGAGTGGCTTCTTTCCTTTGGTGACTCGCTTCGCACAAAGAGAAAAAGAAAAATGGTGAGCGCTTAGAGAGAGATTTGGCCTCACTATACCCAAGCAAGGATGTCTAACTTACAGCGATCGCAATCAATTCTTCTAACAGCTCCTCCAAATTGCGCAATGGCTACAAAGCAATGTGCACAACAGTAGTAATAAGTGAGCATATCATCACACATCATGGGTTGAAAATGTCTCAACGGTGATGGAGAGGTTACCCATTGAGTTGGCCCGTCACATGGTGAATTCAGGGGATCATCATGTACCTGTCATAGGATTGTGAAAATAATCTTACAAATATTGTTGTATCTCTAATGGATCATAACTAAAATGAAAGGTACAACGAGCAAAAAGCACCATGATAGTTTCATCGACCTACCTCCATGAAAATACCATCAACACCAACTGCAACAGCAGTCCTTGCGATGCATGGTATGAGTTCTCGTAAGCCCCCACTTGCGACCCCACCACCATCAAGCTTGCAAAACAGAGTCAAGTATGCCCGGTTGAGCAAAATTAAAATCCTCAAAAGATAGTTAGTTTGGAAGAGGTTTAATTTGGTCATCAATGTTTTACTAGTTGATCACACTATCTTAGGAGATGGCTACACAGAAGAACCAAAATAAAAATAACCCAAAAAGTCTGAATTGCTTAGATATCACACCATGGTTTTTGAGCTTTGGCCATGGATCATGGTTGCAGAAATATACAGTGATGGATCAGGTTGGAACATTGCCACGTATCATACCCTCCCAGTCCATTATAAGTGTGGTGTCTGGGACATAGTTTTCATCAAGCTTTTAAAACTTTCACCACCAATTTGTTTAAAACATATGATTCGATTGGATATGTGAGAAATCATATTTACAGATTGGTATCAGAAAATACTTCCATAACGTAACAATTAAATTTAGCAATACTATAGTAGAAATTAAGTAGCAAAATTATGTTATGAACACAGCGTAGACGTCTAAAATGTCATCTTCTTTAAGACAGAAGGGAGTAAGTTCACATGCCATGTAAAATCTGGTCAACTGCTGCAAGTTTCCATGTAAACTATTGGCAACATTTAAAGATCATGATGATTCCCTTGATGTTGATTTTATTCACAAATGACATGACTCTGACAAAGGGGAAAAGAAAGAAAAGAATAATTTTCTTAAGGTTGAGCAAAAATGTCTGCGAGGACAATTACCCTAAACCAAGAGAGGCAGATTGGAAATAGGTGATTATACCTTTTTCCCAGCTGGTTGTTGTAGAGCATGTGTTACGTCAGCTACCTGAAAATGGATACTTCTCTGTCACCGATCTATGTCATTGTTCATGGTACATGATATTTGAGAATACACAAATCGAGAATTCAATGGAATAAGTTACCACATAACATGATATTTGAGAATACACAAATCAAGAATTCAATGTACAATTCAGCTATAGAAAACGCAATCATCTGGTTCATGTCTAAATAAACAACCCAGATCCATTATCGAGTAATAACAACAGAAAATAGCACAAAAGCTAGACATCTGCCATATTAAGGCAAATGTGCCCCGAGAGAGAAAAATAACTCAATGCTTAATCAATTAATTGACAATAAAAAACAACTATCTTCATTATATAATAGAGCTCCAATGTTGAAAAATAGGTTAATACTATTTTTATTGCAAATATCACGCCATCATGAATACCGGACATCCCGATATGCCCAATTTCACCAATGATAACCTTTTTCTATTGTGGCCGAACGCCAATGATAACCTAGACAGAGCTTTTCATGACTAGAAACATGCTGAATATGTGATTGTGCAATTGTGGACAAAAGTAAGGTGATAATACTTACAACTGGGCAATTTGTTTCCCTCAGCCACTCAAAGTTCCTTGGATCAACAATTAGATCATCTGTGTGTGCAATGAAAACAAAGGAAGATATTGCTAAATCAGTTATCTTCTACAAGGAAACCATGAACATAAGTTGCTTGTTGCAGGAAGACTAATGCCTGATTCTCCTTTAACCTGAATAAGGAAAACGGGCAAATGGTTGTATTGCTCACTTTGTTTTATGGCAGCTGCACTGCATGGTGCCCCAACCTGACTAGTAGTATGTACTACCAGTGGCGGAGCCAGGGAATTCGAATGAGGAGGGCCAAGTATTGTTATGTCTTGTTAGAGAGGGCCAGTTCATAAAAATACATCATTTTAGCAGCAAAAACATCAAAGTTTACACTAATACTAGACTCAAATCAGTAGTGTTAGGGGGGCCAGGGCCCCTGCTGGTCCCCCCTGTCTCCGCCACTGTGTACTACTACTACTATTAGTAAATTCATTCAAACACGCTAAAATGTTAAATGGCTAGGGACACAGAGACATTTGAAGAGCTAGTTAGCCCTCAGATTTCACCTTTTCATGTATTTTCTCTTTATCTAGCTGCTCAATCACAACAATCATTATTCCCCATGCCACATCATATCCGAGTGTCCAAAAAGAGCAGGATATCCTAGTCAGTACAATATGTTTCGTGATAATTACATAGCCTATAATGTAATATGATATTATGTGTTTTCTCTTATGTATTTACTTCTGAAGCAGGCAGTACAAAAAAAGGCGAAAAGATGACTTAACTGTAGCCAAACATGGTGCCTCGCTCACAGACCATCACATTATGATTTCCAGCAAGTCTAATTTTCTCCGCAGAGTTGGCCATAACCTGTTAAGGTACAGCCATACAGGATCACTTCAACAAATGTGCAACTTAACTAGATGCTGGGCGCAACATTTTCCATTGAAAAAATATCTAGTTAAGTAGCACAAGCATGTAATTGGTATACGGATACAGAAAGCTACATCTTGAACAATGGCTAGCCGAACTTCTGAAGAGAAATGACAATTCAGAACAGTGACAGACTAAACTGGAACTGATAGCTTGTTTTACATAGTTAGTTAGACATCATGTTGGTTTCTAATGTTGGATTAATAAAGAGTAGAATAAAAGGTCCAAGCAAGTGCAATTAGCTTCAACTTTGCATGACCATTCAATCTCATAGAGAAAGAAACCACATGATGTGAAATACAAAGGACATTATTGAACAAACTAAGCATGAGTTTTTTAGGCTAACGCTAAAACAGACAATGGCACCAGCAATAACGCAGATAGTGGCAACAATAGTACCCCTTTTTGATTTGTATGAAGCGCCCATGAAACATGAGATTCTATCTTTCTAATGTTTGACCAATAGATAGTCAAACAATAGAAAGGTTTAGTAAATATGCCCCGTGTCTAAATGTGCTTTTCACGCTGTCATAATTTTCTTGATAGGTACAAACAATATATTGGAGAAGAAATTTATGGTTAAAGTTTAATTTTGTCGAGGTGCCAACTCAAACGCACCTTATAAGAATCAAAAAATGGGGTGCTACATTCAAATTTTGTGAAGACTGCCAGATAGAAATGCAACTTACAGACGGGGCACAGAATTGTCCTTTCTTGATATTGATAATTTTCCCAGTCTTAGCCGCAGCCACTAGAAGGTCAGTCTGTTGGCATAGATACTTATATTAGGCATGTTGAACGAGATATTAAAGAAGATTCATGCTTGATAGCTAGTAGTACTGCAGTTTTCCCAGAAACATGCATACATTAAAGTTGTACCTGGCGACAGAGGAAAGCTGGAATCTGTATAATATCAGCAACTCTTCCAACAGCTTCGCACTGATTTAGTGAATTAGTTAGAAAGCATCTTTGCTTTACACTTCAGAGCAAAGGACACACAATCCAAGAATTTGGATTCAAAGGATACAATAAACACATGTAGCAGTACAAATTCAACACAAAAAGCCTAGCAATATATTCAAACAAAGATATTTTAAATTCAGACATGTCACATTCAAATGTACAAAAAAGTAACGGTACCTGTGGTACAGTAACATTTCATAGAAAGGAAACATAATTAATGGACTCAGCTAAATTTGCAGAAATATTAAGCGAGTGACACAGCAGAATTTGCTAGCAAAACAGAGAAGAGTGTCCTTACTTACAGGATTAAAAGAATCAAATGGATACCTGGCAGCTTTCATGCACGTCGGTGACCACTGGAAGGTCATATGCAGCCTTCACCTTTTCAAGGATCTGATATAGCAAGGTAGAAAGGTTAGATACGGAAGAGACAAAAGGTCTAATATTATTTTGTCAGACCTTTAGGCCTTGTTCCAGACCAGGACCGCGGAAGGATTTCGACGATGTACGGTTTGCTTTATCAAAGCTTGATTTGAACACAAGAGGCACCCCAAGCCTGCCATGGAGAGAAAAAAAAAACAGGTTTAGTTTCGCCCAAGAGTAAACAGAAGTATGGTGATTGGTTGTTTACTTGGTTGTGATGGCTTTGATGTGTTTGGCCATCTTCATGACATGTTCCTCTGATTCGATCACATTGGGCCCAGCTAACAAGAAGAATGGTTGGGCAGCCTGGTGCAGAATCAGAGGGGTCAGTTCTCGCATATATGACGTCTTGAGATGTGATCACGCTGCTAGTATCATTCATTCATATGACGACAAACCAAGGACATGAGATGAGCTCCCAAAAGCAATTTTACTGTCATCCAAGAGGCAGAAACACAGCACTCAAAAGGAAATTTCTCTGTAACTCACTCAAAGAAAACGCAAAAACAGAAATCCCATCTAGTCATACCAAACATCTCCAGGCTTGAGCATAGTCAATAGCGTCACAACACCAACAAACTTACTGAATCATGCGAATATTTCTACATCATGTAAATCTCAATAATGGCATGCATTCAGGACCTTCAGAGAACATTTTAATTGACTTGATTTGACCAGCACCTCACCAAGAAACCTATCAAAATGTGGATTTTTTGCATATGCCGTAACTGGTAAGCTAAGCACTACGCAAGGCCCTGCCAGAATGCGCTAACTGTCAATTGTATTATCATCTACGTAGTATTATCCAAAACAAAAAAGGACTGCGAATAATAAGCAGACAGCGACGTGATCCAACAACTCCCCACCACAAGAACCGTTGTACTCCCTCCGTCCCATAACATAAGAACGTTTTTGACACTACACTAGTGTCAAAAACGTTCTTATATTATGGGACGGAGGGAGTAACTCCTAAAGCACCCTTGGCGAGGAACAAAGGGGCAAAGAAGGTCTGAACTGAACCCGCCACAGCACCGGCAGCCGCAGGGTGGTCGACGAAATGCCGCACCCAACATCACACGCGGCGCGAGGGCATTCTTGTTACCTTGAGCTGGTTGTAGAGCGCCACCGACGGGGCGTCCATTCTTCCCCCTCCTCGGCTCCTCCTCCCTGCGGATCTGCGGCAGGGCTCCGGTTTCTGCTCGGCCGGGGCGACGAGGATCCGAGAAGTGTGGAACCGAGGAGGAGGAGTTCGTTGGCGAGGAATCGGGTCGTCAGGCACACCGGGGGGCAGGGCATGGAGGACGGTGGCGGATGTGGGTGAATGGGGCGCGGACGAGCAGGGGGAGGGGTCCAGGTGCTGGGAGTGGGATCAGGCGGAGCGGGGCAGAGAGCACATGGGGATTGCTGGAGGAGGATGACGGCTGTCGGTAGATCCGTTCGTGAGTCGGGACCGGTTTTGGTCTTCTTTTTCAGTCGAACCGGGCATGGAAAATACATGGATGAACCGGCCATGGAAAGTGGGCAGGGTAAAGAAAATTCATACAAGTTTAGAGGATTTGTATTCACACATTTTGTCTCGTACGCGTTCACAATTCTCCACAACATGTACACCTCCTAATCAAAATAATGGACGGGGAATAAATTTCAAACACCGGGGCACCGTTGATTGCCGGTAAAACATTGAGATGTCTGGTTTTAAATTCTAGTAAATTCAAAAGTTGTCTGAAATTCATAAAATTTGGCATGCTATCATGGAGCGGGATCAATATGCCGTGGTACAAATTTTGTCTCATATGAGCATGTTTGGTTATATGCTTCTCACAAACCGGAGATTCCCACAACAAGCATGATGGTTTTTGATAGGGAACGTCCCACCTTTGGGGACGAAACGATATCCATTGCCTCTTATTGCTTTTTAAAAAAATCTCGCATCAACATAGAACAACAGGAGTGTTGTGTGAATTTTTGTGATTTTTCGGGGTTCGTTTGGACATTTTTATGCATTAACTGAGTTTTCAATGCATTTTATGTGCATAATTCAAATTTGAACTACATGCACATACTCCAGTACATATAAATTGGTTGAAAAATCAAATTTGTGTCCTTGGGTGCATGCTTAGGTCCCATGCAAGAAATGAGCATGAATTTCAAACACCGGGGCACCGTTGTTTGCCGGCAAAACATTGAGATGCATGGTTTTTTAATTCTATTAATCCAAAACTCGTCTGAAATTCATGAAACTTGGCATGCTATCATGGAGCGACATCAACATGTCATAGTACAAATTTTGTCCCATATGGGGCAGGTTTAGGTATATACTTCTCACAAACCGCAGCTTCTCACAACAGGCATGATGGTTTTCGATAGGGAACGTTCCACCTTTAGAGACGAAACGGTATCCATTGCCTCTTATTGCTTTCAAATTTTTTTTCTCATCTCAACATAGAACAAATAGGAGTGTTGTGTGAATTTTTGTGATTTTGGGGGGTTCGTTTGGACATTTTTATGCATTAACTGAGTTTTCAATGCATTTTATGTGCATAATTCAAATTTGAACTACATGCACATGCTCTAATGCATATAAATTGGTTAAAAAATTAAATCTATATCCTTGGGTGCATGCTTAGGTCCCATGAAAGAAATGGGCATGAATTTCAAACACCGGAGAACCGTTGATTGCCGGCAAAACATTGAGATGCCTGATTTTTAAATTCTAGTAAATCCAAAATTCTGTTAACCATTCATGTGACGCCACATGTCTTGGTTTTAATCACTGTAGGAGGTGCCGTGCGGACAGCTGCTTGACCTTGACTGAATGGGAGGCGTGCGAGCGCCGTCCGGTGCGCAGGCTGACCGAGAGGCGTGCAAACTGTCCTCGAGTGCTCAGGCTCACCGGGAAGCGTGCGAGCGATACGCTGCGCAAGCTTACTTGGAAGCGAGCCCTTTGATTTCCATGGCTACCCGCCTTGCTCGCGTCCTCTTCATTAATGGCGCCCAAGCCACAGTTTAATTCGCTTTTTAAATATAAAACACGCATCACAGACATTTTAGTTAGAACACCCGTATGCAAACCGACAGCTTCCCCAGGAAGCCAAGAGAAAATGGGCCGAGCAGGATTTCTGTAGCTCTTGATCGCAAACGATTTAGATAGAACACCCGTATGCAAAGTGAAAGCAGTACAGGATTTGTACATTCCTTCAATGCAAATGGTTGTTCTGGATAACCCGTGTGCAACCACGTACAAACAATTTGGTAAGATTTGCATTTGTCATATTGGGTATGTTGCCATTTGTCAAACTGGAAAGATTTACATTTGTTGATCTAGTAACATTGCCATTTGTCAGTCCTTATAACACTGTGATTTGTCAAAAAATGCAGCTAGAAATCATTAGCACTATGTAATTTTTGCAACTAAAATTCAGTAATTAAGCTAGAAATCATCCCCCAATTGTTGCTAACCATGTACTGAAATAGCTAGTTCAACTATATATATTAGCTAATTTTAAGTACGTTGTACAGTTCAACCACACATTTATAGTGAGATGAACTGAACAAAATAGCCCCTAAATACTACTACTACCACGGAGGGGCTTTGTGCTACTTCCGGCAGTCTTTCCTCTGCCGAGCGCGCTCAGTAAGAGGCAGAGGAGGAGGAGGAGCCTGCCGACGAGCTGGACAAATGCAATATGGTGCCTGCCGCTACTGCACGTTCAGTGACGCTCGCCAGCTCGAACGCCCACTGCCGCTCCAGACGATCCCTCTCGAAGCGGCCGGACTGCTCGTAGATCTCCTGATTCCTCGCCTCTGCGTCGGCATGTGCTGCGGCCACGACCGCGGTAAGGATCTTTGCATGCTCGACGAGGCGCTCCTCCTCTTCCCGCGGGAACTCGATGTAGGGCGCAAGGTTGCTGACACACATGCGGGCTCCACCTCCGCCCCCTCCTCCGGGCGGCGGTGGCGGAGCGGATGATGATCCCGGCGGTCGACGGTGGGCTGGCGGCCACGGTGGCCGACGATGGGGTGGCGGCCACGATCACCACCTCCTGCCTTCGGGCCGCGGTGGCGGAGCGGGTGATGGCCACGGTGGCCGGTAGTGGGGTGGCGGCCATGGCGGCCACCTTCCGCCTTCGGGCTGCGGTGGCGGAGCGGGTGGTGGGTGTTCTGCGCACATCCAACAGGGACGCCACGCGCACCACACTACGCCGGGGACTGCGCCGCCGCCGCTGTGTAGCCTCCCAGCTGGAGCTGTCCTCTGATGATGGCGGAGTGGCTGAGCGACGATGATGGACCGGTGCCATTGGCGATTGTAGAAGAAGCAGACGAGATAAGCTATTGGGAGGGAGGGGAAAATGCGACGCAGGACTCACCGGCCATGAGGGTTTTTATAGCAGGCCGGTAAGCATTGGGATTTTGGGGGATTTCACCGAGTCGAGCGGGAAGCTTGCGCAGGAACCTACCAGGTTGCGTGGGAACAGGCTCACCGATGATTCATTGGCGCCGCCATTTGGCCAAAAGAACGCCCCTGCACGCTGCGCAAGCTAGCGCTGTAAGTCGTCTGCGGCAGCGGGGTGACAAGACGTGTGAGAGGAGGACGAGAGAACACGTACACATACAGTTAATAAAAAACGTTTGCGATCTAATTACCTACCATACCCCCGTCCTGGTTTGAACATAGTTTCCAGCTATACAATTTTTGTAACATGCATTAACACTTTTTTGGTTAAATTTAAGATTATACACCAGCAAGCATTTTCCCGCAACACACATGGCTTATTCCATCACAAACAACTCTGATGGATCAACTGTCTGCCACGTATCGCACACGCAACTCTAATCTGATTCGTGCTTGATGTCTCCGACATCGCTCGCATAGTTCGTCTTATTTGCTATGTATCACTGTGCCGTCCTCTGCTCGCGTCCCTCGGCAAGCTCTGCTCGCCGTTAGGCGCCGCAGCGCGCTGTGCTCGCTGTTAGGCGCCGTGGCGCACTCGATCGCATCCCTTGGCACGCTCTGCTCGCGTCCGTCGGCGTGCTCGGCTTGTGGATAGCTTTTCCTTGAGGCGACCGCGGAGCGCTCTTCTCGTGTCCCTCCGCGCGTGCTCTGCCAGCGGTTGGGCGTGCGCACAATCATGTCGGGGGCCCCATATGCATGCGGTTGCGCCGCGCGTGTTGCCACGCGATGCAGTTACGTGCGGCACGATGAAGTTACACGCTGCAAATTAGAACTGCCATCAGGGCCTGCCGATATTCCTAGCCGTCCGGTTTCCCCTTTAATTCCCGCGGCCATTATAACCTTAGTCTCTTCAACCTTTCGATCACGCCCCACAACACAACAAGCACGCCCACGACGACACATAGAGAGGGGATATCCGGCGACGCTTCAATGGAGTTCGACGAGCATAGAGTGGAGACCCATGCGAGGGAGACAGATCTCTCGGTGGTGTACACCATTAACCCGGACGTGGTGGACGATTACATCAACAACGTTGAGCAGTTGCTTGCTGGAGACAAGTACAAGGTGGTCGGTGATGAAGCCATGTACCTAGGGTAGGGGCACGGACCTGTGCAAGAAGCCCTACCCTAGGACATCCCTAGGAGAAGTCACCTTTCAATCGACTTGAAGGTATCCCACTCAACGGATTCAAGACACTCGACCAGAAAGCTATCACTCGACCATGAAGCCAACCACTCGACCGCCAGGAGACCTATAGTCACTCCGCAGGCAAACGGTCAGCTGTTAAGTAGTCTTTATGGTCATTATAGCACTTTATTAGGGGTGTTACCAGTAACGCCCAACCTTAAATGTACCTTAAACCCTGCATTACTGAGGGCAGGAGGGGGCCGGCGAACTCTATATAAGCCACCCCCCTCCTCAGTATGAAGGGTTCGCACCCCTGTTATTCACACGCCAGTAATCCAGTCGACCGCCTTCGGGCACCGAGACGTACTTCCTCCGTGAAGGGCCTGAACTCATACATCTTAGTGTGTTTACAACTCCCCAGTAGCTGAGATCTAGCCTCTCCATACATACCCCCCTACATCACTGTCAGAGCTAGAACCACGACAGTTGGCGCCCACCGTGGGGCCGGAATCTTAGCGCCTGATTGGAGAACTTGCATTTTTTCCGATCCCTTTGATCATGGTTTCGTGCGGAGTTTTGGTGGAGGGCCGCGAGATCCGCCTCGGCGCGCTCACGTTCATCGCCGATGACTCCGCCTAGCTTCAGGAGGCGCCACTCGACGTCGACGCGCTCCTCGTCCGCGGTGCGACGCATTTCCGCGCATGCGTTCGTGGCG